TGAGCTGTTAAACTTGTTTGAAAAGTTCTTTCTTTCCCCTCCACAAAAAGGCATTCATGTTTTAGGTGTTTGCTCTGGTGACATTTTTGTTTTAAAACTGAGGCAGTCTTCTGGTACAGGAATTGAAAATTTCACCTTTCAGAAATGATAGGGTCAGAAAGATTAATTTATTTAAACTTCAGCTCTGACCAGGGGTAAATTTTTGCTCTCTCTTGACCCATCAGGGAATCTCATTTATTCCTTTTCAGGAGATACTTCCAGAGAGGCCTCTGGGTGGTCTAACTGCCCTCATTCTTATTTTAAGTTCTATAGCTTCAAGTCAGAGTTACTTATTGTTTCAACCTAATTGCTATAAATAATCTTTCTCTTTCTCTCTGCCCATATATATATGACAGTAGAAAGCTGGGAATTACAGAAAAAGATTTTTAAAAACGATTGATCTAAACTGTATTGAAGAAGCAGCTGTTTGCTAAAATGTAGAGATGTAAAACACTATTTTTAACATAAGAAAGTTAATGATCGGTGTTCTGTCTATAAGCAACTATCAGTTTGTAAAGATAAATATATAGGCAAGGATCTTTTTGACTGTGTAGGAAGGGACTGTCTATGAATAAACTCTATGATGTTTATTCTTCTTCTTCCCCTCTACCTCTTCATCACGATCCTTTTTTTCCCCTCAAATCAATTTAATTATAAAAAACTCCAAACAATGATGTATCAAATATATATTGGTAGATAATCAACATGTATTTATTGGTTTTGAAATTTAAATTTCAAATAAAAACAATACTATAACCCTACACACTTTCATTTTTAGGATTTCATTCTGATTTTTGCTCCAATGCATGAGCCATTTTAGATTTTATTTCTATTTCTGGACTGAAAATAAAATGAAAAGATAATGTTGTAGATGGTAAAGAAGATAATGAACTCTGTGTGTAAGAATGGCTTAAAGAATGAAAGGAGATCCAAAAATGTTCAAGTTAATTCTACAAATTTATCTATCGGGTTGTGGCGTTGCTGTCCCAATATTCCTTCGTCACTGGTTTTTGAATACAACAGAGCAAAACGAAACATAACACAAAGCAAAACACTTGCTTTTCATAGTTGTGGTTCAGTGATTTGTAGCTCACCCGAGGAAATAATATACATTTTGGGATCATAAGTTCTCGCTTCTAGTTCCAGCTCTGCAATTTAAGCAATGAGTGTCCTTGAAGACAGTATTCAATCTCTTGGATACTTGTGTTCCTCAGATGTGATGACACTTTCACCACGACTTTGGAAAGGACTTTAACATGAATCAGTTTAGTTCATTTGGCAGGTGTGGGTGAACCTTCCTCCTTCACTGCTGGACCAGTTATGACCTCCCCAGATTTCTCATCCATACAATGGGAGCAAAGTTACTCACTCACAGAGCTGATGAGAGAATAAAATGACACAATTATGAGACAGAGCGTTTTCTAAGTCTTTAAAAAATCATATAGCTTTAAGGTGTTAACATTGCTTGAGGTTCCTTTATTTTTTAGCGCAACAAACATTAATTATGCCTACAAGGTCTTTGGCTCTGAGGATTCATGTTCAGTGGATTCTTTCCAAGTTCCCCCGATGGAAATATTCACTTCAAATTTCTATGAAGCAGCCGCTTGGACTTTCTGTTGCCTGTGGGAGTTGTGGGGAGCAGCATTGTGTTAGAAAACACAACTTCCTTTGTTGGAGGCATAGATAATCCCTCTTGGCAGAGCAAGGGGAAAAGGCACCAATAATTGACAGCAGAAAGTAAAAATAGGGATCTGTGGAAGGTGGTTCTGGTTAGAATTAATGACTGTTTGCCTGGCCCACCTGTGAATTCAGGTAATCACACTTTTTCTTTCCTCTTCTTTACTCCTGTTGGTACCTCTGCCTAGGGGATGTGCCTTTCATTGCATCTAGAATCTTCCATGATGTTCTCCTTCAACTATCAACCCAGTATTCTCTCTCATTTGTACTCCTTTCATAGTACTTTATTAATAAGACCCTTAGAACCTTCATCACATTCTGCCTTTACCAAACTATAAAATCTTTGAAGCAAAGAGGTTTTTGCTCATTTTAGTTTCCCCTGCACTATATACCTCAGACTACTTGAATTATATCATGGGTTCCCTACTTACTAACTGTGTGGCCTTGAGCAAATTGCGAACCTCTCTGGGGCTCACCTTTGCTCATCTATGCATAGTAAATCCTCACTAAATGTCAGCGATTTGTATTATAAACACCTACAATTGGAACACAAGTTTCTGGATCGACTAGGAACTGGATCCCTTGAGATTTAACAGAAAGGCCAGCTTGAGGTAGGCTCACCTGAGACTCAGAGTAATGGGGCTGGTAGACCCTAAGACCCACGTGTTGCTCAACTTCTGTCCCAGCACCTGTGGTAAAAGAAACTAGCAGGGCTGTTACTGCATCTCTCTTACCTATTCCTTTTCAGAATGATTACTGAATATACTCAAAAATAGTCGGGCTGCCTGCATGATGATGAGTGCATTGACTACTTATCCTTTGGGCTCTTGCTGGTCCTGCCCCTTCACACTCCCTCCTAAACAACAATGAATTAGGCCGGGCCGGGTGGCTCAGCCTGTAATCCCAGCACTTTGGGAGACCAAGGCGAGTGGATTGCCTGAGCCTGTGGGTTTGAGACCAACTTGGGTAACTTAGTGAGACCTTGTCTCTACAATAAATCAGAAAAATTAGCCAGAGGTGGTAGTGCACGCCTGTAGTTCTGGCTACTTGGAAGGCTGAGGTGGAAGGATTGCCAGAGCCCACCAGGTGGACACTGGGGTGGCCGTGAATGTACCACTGCACTCCAGCCTGGGTCACAGAGTGAGACTCCAACTCAACGCCCCCCAAACAAAACAAAACAACAACAAAAAAATGAGTTAAACAACCTTGAAGGGAGAAGGTAGCACAAGGGAACAACAAGGTTCAGCAGTGGGCCAGGGATAAGGGAGAATGGATGAAGGGAGGGCAGGACAGGGATCAGGGAGTGGGAAAACTGGAGGAATGTTCGGAGGACATCAAAGAAAAATGTAGCAATGGAGGGTGCAGAAGGGGGCGGGGAAGGTAGAAGGTAAAAAAGTAGGAGTCCCAGGGTCCCAGAGAGTACAGAAAGCAGGAACAGTTATCTTAGAACCCATGGGGATCAGCCTGTGGGAAGTTGGGTCACCGCTCAGGAGAGAATGCAGCCACCAGGTGGCGGGGGTGCCTCAGTCATGTTCTGAGCCAGCTGTGGACAAGGACTCCTCCCTTTGTTTACCAGTGTTAAGTGTCAACATAGCCCAGCACAGTATTGAATGGTAACATCAGATCATGCTTACTATGCAAAGATTTGAAGAAAAGCGACACTAGGTAAAAATGGATATATTTCTCTAGCCCTCATGACTATTTTCAACCCAAGATGATTAAAGAATTCTGGATTTTGTTTAAAATGAGCCTTTTAAACTCAGAGGAGGAGAGGCACAGGCCCAAAGAGCGTTAAGTCCCATTGCTGTATACAATTCCTAGTTGATGCCAAAATCAATGTCGACTGTAGTGCCCTATGCCTATGCATTGACATTTAAATGGGGCAAATAACATCAAGGTGATTTTTCAAAAAATATCTTTTCCCTTTAAAAATCAGGATGAATAATTTTTGGCTTAAGAGTGGCATACACTTTTTACACATACTGTCTGTGTGTTTTCTCTGTTCACAGTGCAGCAAATCAGAAGATAATGTCTGCTTCAACAATCTTCTGTGGTGACTTTTCTACAAAAGTAGAAAAGCCTTGATAATGCAAACCTGTTTATTCCTGCAGGGGTTGTCACTGAGGTTTTTCCCCAGCTCTGTTTTTTCCCAGTTTAGAGAAAACACACACACACACACACACACACACACACACACACACATTGGAAATTTAAAAGCTTGAGACAATGAAGCAAGTGAATTTATTCTAACTATAACCTCTAAGACTTGAGAACAAAGCAATTCTAATATTCTAAAAAATGAAGGCAAGAAAACTTCACAGATTTGGAATGCTAATTGTACATTCAGACATAGTTAGAAAATTGTTAGGCCAGAGTCTCAAAATAAATTGCTAAAATTTAAGTCAATTCTTCTTAGACATTGAAATCTTTCACAATTTTCTAAATTTAAGTCAATTCTTCTTAGACATTCAAATCTTTCACAATTTTCTAAAAACATTTATTTTAAAATAAATTTTGAAACCTGAAATAAAGTAGATGAATTGTTTCCCAATGTAGAAAGCTACCAGAATTCTAGAACTGAATTCTGTTAGGTTTCCAAGGCTCATATGGACAGCAGAATAGAACTGTGTATCTTTGAAAAAACAAACAAAATACTGAAGTCTCTGATTTTTTTCCTTTTTTTTTTTTTACTACATTTCTATTCTATCTTACTCTCTTGCTTAGCCCCTACTTTATCTTATCTCTCCCATTCCTTACTTTTCACCATCTTTTTCTTGCTTAGCTTTTTTTCCCTCTCTTTTAATTTTTCTGTCTCTTCTATTTTTTAAAGTTTTTTTCCAGTATCCTCCTCCTAATTCCTTCCCTTCTGTCTTTTCTTCGTCTCTCTTGCCTGCCTCCTACTGTTAACTGATCCTATTAGGTAATTAAAGTGTGTACATATAAATATTTTTAATTATCTTATTTATTGAGGGAGGGTTTTATATTTCCCATTAGTAATGATCAAAGCATGAAAATAGAGTTTATATACTTCTTTCACAAATGTAAATCAACAATTAACAATTAATTATTTGTATAATATCTCCTTTTCCTGCTGATAGGACCAGGGAAGAAGAGGGAGAATTTGGTTCAGGACATATGATATAGAGGTGGAACAGGATCTTACTTCTTTTACTTTGTTTCTACGGCTTTATTGGTTCATAGGTAGTAGAGAGATGACATAGCATAGAAGACTTTGAACCAATCTTCCCTTCTCAAGTATTCTTTTGTTATATTTTTAAAAATAGGCTGATTTGCTTCTCCTATCAAGTAGTGAGCCACACGGTCTCTGTTATATTGAAACTGCTGAGCTTGATGGGTAAGTTATTAAAATTAGAATAATTACTTAGGTTGGTTTTTAATTTATTTAAAAGTAATGCCTTTAGAATTAGAACTCAAACTATTCATTATTGTCTTGGGAGATATAGGAGTTCAAATTGCAAAATCCATTGTTAATTGCTTTGCAATAATTTTGAAAACTGTCTTTTTGCTTAAATTTGTATTTAAAACTCTGTCTTTTCCCTTGAATTTATTTCATTTCAGAAGCAGTGAACTAAACTTGTGTGCATGAATAATTTTACACAAGAACTCTTTAGTGAAATTGCTTAGAAGGTGTTTTGTTTTTGTTTTTGCTTGCTTGCTTTAATTTCAAGTGATTTTATTAGGAAAATGAGAGGGGTGGAGATCAAGATTCCCCAAGGAAGGAAGGACTGATATTACTTTAAAAGGTAACCTTCTGGAATTGCCAAATGAAGACATAGAGGAGGAAGAGAGAAACAGAATATTATGCAATTTCAACATTTATATTAATTGGGAATTTAGTTATAGACCATATAATAGTTCTGTTTTAGAGGATTCAATTTGTCTTTCTGGCATAAAAACATTTAGTGAATGCTTACATTTAAAAACACATTTTAAGTGCTTATATTTTAAAAACATGTGTTCTTTAGATGGAATTTATCAGTTAATCTTGCTGTAGGTGTTATATAAACTTTATTGTGCAGACAATGAAACCAAGGCTTAGTTAGGCTAGATAATTTGCTGGAAACAGCCAAAGAGTGAAGCCAGGACTCAAACCTGGCAGTCTGACCCCAGAGCTCATGGTTTTAACCAGTGCCTCCAAAATCATTGCCATGCTATTCAAATAGAGTTCAGTCTGTGGGATTCTACCCCTGGTGTGGACAGAACAGTTTCAAACACAGCTAAAATAGTGCTGAGAGGAAAATGTATAGTACTACATAAATACAATTGAAAAGAAAAAAATCTTAATCTAATATTCCATCTCAAGACTTAGAAGACAGCAAAATAACCCAAAGCAAGCAGAAGGAAGGTGATTTCATAGAGATATAGTAGAAATCCATAAACTTGGAAATAGAAAAACAATAAAAAAATCAATGACACAGAACTAGTTTTCTGTAAACATCAATGCAATTGACAAACCTCTAGGAAAACAAAGAAAACCTCTAGGACAAAGAAAAAAAGAAGATACAGATTAGCAATATCGTGAATGAATCAAGGGCATTTACTATAGTTCATGAAAATGTCATTAAAGGAGTATTAAAGAAATACTGCAAACAACTCTACACACATACATTTGACAACTTAAATGAAAAGAACCACTTTTTCAAAGAACATATTCTACACACTCAATATGAAATAAATAATTTGAGTAGCCCTATAACTATTAAGAAATTTGATTCAAATATAAAACTATACAACTTTTAGAAAAAGCATAAGAGAAAATCTTTGAGATCTGGGCTAGTCAAAGTGTTCTTAGACTTGACACAAAAAGCACAATCTACAAATAGAAAACGACAAACTAGACTTAATCAAATTAAAAATTTTTGCTTCATAAAAATTTCTGTTAAGAGTATGCAAAGATAAGCTACAGATTGTAAAAAAAAATATTTGCAAGCCCTCTATCTGACAAAGGACTTGTATCTTGAATATATAATTATCTTTCAAAACTCAACATTATAAAAACAATCTAATGAAAAAATGGCAAATGTCATAAACAGATATTTTACCAAAGAGGACATACAAATGGCAAGTAACCACATGAAAAGATGTTCAACATCATTAGCTATTAGGGAAATTAAAATTACAATCACAATGAGCTCTAACTATAGACCTGTCAGAATGACTAAAATGAAAAATAATGACAATTCCAAATGCTGACAAGGATGTAAAGAAACAGGTTCACGAAGATGGCGACAGGGCAACCCGGCATCTGAAGCCCTCTGCAAGGGAGATCTGCAGTGGGTCTCTGACTCTCGCCCCGGGGGGCTGGGGACCCCAGCATCGCAGCCTGCTCTACAGACAGAGCTTGGCCGCTGCCATCGGAACAACTGAACAGTTTTGACTGCATTCCAAACAGTCCCACCACCACCGCTGCTGTGGCCGCCGCCGCCGCCCCTCCCCCCACCGCCGCTGCCACCGCACCTCTGGGAGAGGTAGCATATCGCACCACGCAGCCCGAGGAGATCCACAACGAACCGCTTCAGGGAAGATCTGCTGGGATCGCTGCCACCTATCCTGCGTCCAAAACTGTCCTGCCCGCCTGGCGTGGGACTCCTGTTGCCTGGTCGGAGGCAGGCAGCCATCTTGTTCCTGTCCGGCCCCACCCCCCCTGGGGCGAGCAGATGAGATAGCACCACCTGCTGGCGATTCAAGGTAACAACACCGAAACGGGAGAAACAAGCTTGATAAAGACATAGACCAAACTGCTCAAGGAAGGTTCATCTGAACTGTCCTTCACAGCAGATCAGGGGCAATTGACTCTAACTGCAAACTAATTTACCAGCTTGAAAAGAAAACTAGAAATCAGACCTGAAAGGACATTGGACTTAAACGAAAGGTCTCAGAGTGTGCTTCATTGATTCTATCAGTTTAATGACTTAATTCTATTCCTACTGTATTGTTCCCATTTTTCTTTTTTCCTTTTCCTTTTCTTCTCTTTTCTTCTCTCTGTAAACCATATTTTTGTATAGAGGAAAGCACACTAACAAGGTGGTTGGTTAGCTTGTATATTAGCATCACTATATATTTTATTTTTGTGTGTATGAGAGTTGGTTCGACTGTAGCTGTGGTCTATTGTTTTTATCTGTTTCAGTATAGGCCTCTCTCTCTATTTGTTGGCACACTCGTTTGTTTCCCCCCTTACTCCTCTATCTCTCCATTCCCCTCTTCAACCCACTATCTGCTCCATTCTCTCCCCTCTGCTAACCACATTTTATTTCAGGGAGTAAACCTACAGCCCCACTGCACGGACAGATTCCAGGACAGTGGGAAGTGGGTTCCACATTATCCACACGCCTGTCAGCGAATACCAGGACCTGCAGACAGATTTTGAATCACAGCTCTCCCCTTAAATACATCTCAAAACTGCAAAAAGGACCACCTCCAACCTATAGTGCAACTTCAGAATTGAACAAAGTAAGAGGACATACATAAAGAATAGGAGATTGAACAAACAGAAGTAAAACCAATCCCTTTACCCCTGAATAACAGAATTAAAGAAGACGGTGACGTGGAGGGAAGGAAAAAGTAGAGAGGGGGGAAAAAACCGCACAAATGAAGAAAAACCAAAAGAAGAATATAGGTCCTACACAGACCCCTGGGAAATCAGACACTGAGAAAACAGATTCTGGGACACAGACAATGAAGAGTCCCCAGAATGACTGGTTACATGCAACAAACCCAGACATCAAGACATTAATGGAGAGAATTAAAAAAATTGAGGAGAGACAAGAAGAAAATAAGAAGGAGCTGTTGTCAGAAATGACAGCAGTAAAGAATACTGTGATGGAAATGAACAACAGACTAATAAGCATGGAAAGCAGAATCAGCCAAGCTGAAGAAAGAATCTCAGAGCTCAAAGACCAAAACACAGAACTAACCCAAAGAGTCAAAAGCATAGAAAAGAAGCTCAAAAAGACAGAACAAAACCTGCAAGAGATGAATGATCACTTCAAGAGACCAAACCTAAGAATAATTGGGCTTCCTGAGGCAGAAAGAGAAATATAAGACACGTTGGAACAAACATTTCATGAAATCATTCAATACAACTTCCCTCATCTCATTAAGGATGAAAAAATTCAAACACAAGAGATTCAGAGAACCCCTACAAGACAACAAACGAGAAGACCAACTCCCAGACACATAATAATTTGCCTAAACAAAGTAGCTATGAAAGGAAAAATCTTAAAGGCAGCAAGAGAAAAAGACCAGACTACCTACCAGGGACAACCAATTAGAATAGCAGCAGATTTATCCACAGAAAACCTTCAGGCCAGAAGAGCCTGGAGCCCTATCTTCAAAGTTCTAAAAGAGAAACAATTTCAACCAAGAATAACCTACCCAGCCAAACTAAGGTTCATTAGTGAGGGAGAATTGAAATCTTTTCCAGACATCCAATCCCTGAGAACCTACGCTATCACCAGACCACCTCTACAAGAAACACTTAAGAAAGTACTGAACACAGAAGAAAAAGAAAAAAGAACAACAGCATTCTTCACAAGAGTACAGGCAAAAGATTAAAAACACACATGAACCAACTCCAGAACCCAAAGAAAGACAACAAATAAACAGGATCAACTCTGTAAGAACCTAATGACAGGGATCAACTCTTGCATTTCAATTATTAGCCTAAATGTAAACGGACTAAAGGCACCACTGAAAAGACATAGAATGGCTAAATGGATAAAATATCATCAGGCAACAATCTATTGCCTTCAAGAGACTCACCTCACTAGAAAGGACACCCACAGATGCAAAGTAAGAGGATGGGAAACAAACTTTCAGGCGAACGGAATACAAAAGAAAGGAGGAGTAGCGATCTTAATTTCAGACAAAATACCCTTCAAGCTATTAAAAATCAAAAAAGATACAGAAGGCCACTACATAATGATAAAAGGCTCAATCCATCAACAAGAAATATCTATCCTAAACATATATGCACCCAACATAGGTGCGTCAACTTTCATAAAGCAACTTCTTGGAAAACTAAAGAAAGATATTGACTCAACCACTATCATAACTGGGGACTTTAATACCCCACTCACAACCCTAGACAGATCATCAGGACAAAAAATCAGCAAGGAGATCCGGAACCTCAATGTGACTTTGGACAAAATGGACTTAATTGATACCTACAGAGCACTCCATCCAAAGACCACAGAATACACATTCTACTCATCACCACATGGAACATATTCTAAGATCAACCACATACTCGGCCATAAATCAAGCATAAGCAAATTTAAAAGGACTGAAATTCTACCAAACACCTTTTCGGACCACAGTGGAATAAAAATAAACATTG